GGCCTTCGTCTGAGATCTTGACTTCTTTGAGCAGCAGGGAGACATTGCCTTTCTCCAGCTCTGTACTGAAGAGTGAAGCTCTGCCCTCATAGCCCGATCCTACTGTCTCCCTCATGTCTTTGTACAGATAGACGTATTCACTGAACTTCTGCCTGAACCACCTCACGTGCATGCCTATCACACTGGTCTGAGGTGAGAGGTGACAGAGCAGGACAATGTCGCTGCCCTCATCAGCGAGCACGGGGACCAGAGGCACGATGACTTTAATTTCATTTACAGTGGAACAAAGGAAAATCAACACAGTTGGTGTGACATTACTGTGTCCTACCATAGCCCACATGATTTAGCAATCATGCACATGACACACATGATTGCTAAATGTGACAGATCTTTAGGACATACACACAAAGCACAATTCAATTACAGAAAAGGCCATTTAGTCCATCAGGGCTAATCATCATCTATGCTGAGAATTGAGTTGTCTTCATTTTGAAAGGCCTCAGCTTCTATACCTCCACAAAGTGATGATAATTATTTTTGCAAACAAACTTTTTAACATTCCAATAGATAGATGAAAAAGGAAACTTGCAGTAAAAAAGATAAAACAAGAGAATGCACTAATCAAACAGGTTTTGGAAAAAGCACCTGACCACACTATCACAGGTTTAAAATGTAAACTAGTTCTACTTCATTCCATAAAATTGCGAAGTGGATAAGACAGAATTATTCTGTTTTCTATCCAGTCTTTGAAATGAGGATTCTTGTTCCAAATTTAACTTTTAAATAAAAGACAGGATGTCAGAATAATGCTAGTATTTTTCATCAGGAGGGGACTAGCATTTTATTCACATACAACTAAAATCGCATTAGCAAACATCTGGTCTGAATACATTTATTATAAACTCAGAGGGTCTTTTAAAGTTTAAGATGTGAGAAACTGGAGCAGAAACACCAGAGGAAAACAAGAAAAGATAATCGACATGCAGTGAAATATGATGTTTGGGCTGTGACACGTCAGTAGCAGTAATGCTGTTAGTCTGTTCTATAATATGTGTACTAATGAAAGTAAAGGTATAATGCTGTGAACTGAGAGGAAGCACAGAACAAGCAGTGGGACAGGTGCACAGCTGTGAATCACGTGTATTAATGAGCAAAGAAAGCAGAGATATTCTAGATGAGCCCATTGATTGTTCTGTTCTGGGTGATTAAAGATTTTCTTTATATATAAAGAAATCTGAAACAGCAGAATAAGTTGATATGGAACACGAAAAAAACTTTTTATGTACAGTAACCAGAGGCAAATTGGAAAAGAAAATCTCAAGTCATATTATATTACTGTAGATTTTTTGTATATTCCCATCTGCTTTTAAAAATATTTTGCCTATAGTTTTGTCTGTGTGTAATAGTGATGACAGACTACATATAGTGTAATTCAGTGGGTCTTTACCATTTTTAAGATGAAAGACTAGAGATAATGTTTAGACCAAATGAAAAGAGATTTATATGGGAAAATGTAAAGAAAGTAGGTTTAGCAGGGTTACCTGATTTGACACTGTATGCAATAAAACGTTGGGAGATTTATGTCTCTGCACAGATTTATCATTTATCATTAACTCCCACAGAGGTATAACAGCTCTTGATTATCTTAGCAATCTCAGATTATTGATTAATGAAACGCTTCTACGTGTCTGGGGTCTGAAAAGTCCTGTTCTAGAGCACCTTTAGAAAATGAGACTAACATGTTTTGGGTTGTGATTGAGCCACTGAAGGCCTGACTGCTCCTTCTCAATGATTGTACAATGTTTGTTACCTTCAGTGTTTGAGCAAGATGACATTTCATGCATAATAAATCTTTGCAGATAGCAAAATGCATCATATAAGAATGGACAGAGTCTTATTCAGTCGACTGTATTCATTCACAGAAGTCCTCAGTCTCCACCTATGGTCTTTGCTCGTAATAAATTCACAGTATGTTCAGATGTCTAATCTTAAAAATCTGTGTTTGGTATACCCTTTTATCTCTTTTTAAGCATGAGCTCCTACTCTTAATATGTTTTTTTTCACTGTTTTTGCTGTATTTTGGAAAAATAAAAAAATATGAAAAAGAATATTGGTCATTTTAACCCAGTATCCAATTTATTTTAGTGCTTAAAAAGTCTTAACTATCTTTTTTACTTGCTGAAAGTTAAGAGTCACAATCGACTAAATTAATTGCATATGAAATATGTTTTTAACACTGAGATATGAGGTATGTTGTAATAGTCATCTCCATTTGTTATGTACTGCGCCATAGAGTTCTATACAAGTGTAAGGAATTTATTACTATTTACAATGATTATTGTAAATTCCTGATGGCTGAATGGTCCATTATTTTATAATATGGCCATTTGAAGCTACTTTTTAAAATAATGGGCTATTCAGCCCTTAGGACTTTACAGTACTCATTATGAGTTAGGGTTTTTAATACATAAATAATACGCATACATATACTGTATAATGTGTAAGTATTTTATACAACATATAAACCTATATACTGTATGTTTAAGTTACAATGTGTGTGGCACCCATTCCTACAACTGTCAGAAATATATACTGTATAGAGAAAATATATGTATTTTCTAAACGTAAACTGTGAAAGTGAAAGTGACCGACTTGGCAGTTCCAATGTAAATTAAAAAATGCTAATGAATAATAAGTATGTTAAACAACAAGAATTTTACTTGTTGGAAGGCTGCGCCTATACTCAAAATTAAGAAATTCATGGATAAATTCACTTTTTTAGTAAGCGGATTAGTCACCAAGAACTGTTTAAGGGGAATTTTCTTCGTCGTGATCAGGATCCAGCTTTTGCTGGCTAGCCCTGGGAATACTTAGCTAGTCATATGATTATTTCTGTTGTGTCATTTTTTTTGTCTGTTGCGTCTTGCTTTAGATATGTAAAAACGTTTTAATCTAACAAGGACCATTTTGTCGATTCAACTAGTCATTCGAGATCCTAAATAATTTCCTACAGAAAATCAACTTAAATTGTTCAGTAATTTTATTCTTTTGTTTCTGTTTCGTGGTTGAAATAGTTTAATCAGTTTGACCATGTCACATAAGAGTTTTTAAATCCATATTTGTACACATTGTTGTACATTTCTAAAGCTGTGGTATGACTGCTGCTAAAAAAATAAGTGTTACTAGTGATGTGAGGACAATAGATTTGTGTTTTACTGGAATAAATACAGAGAGAACAGGACAAGAGAGACAAGGCGAAGCTGAACAAAAAATAAGTCATGACATTAAAGAAAAAATAGAGACATTAAAAAAAATGTTTCAGTCAGTTCAGTCAGTAAGATTAGTTGTTTAGCTAGGAAATAGTAAAGCACAGACATCAAAGGTGACCCTATTGTACAGTATGTTGTTTGTCAGAATGTGTAAGGGTAATGATACAGTACATGTTGTTTGGGTCAATCAGCGCTTCATACATCCTGTTGTGAAAAAGTAACTTGAACAGCTGGAGGTGAGTGAAGGAAAATTTCGACAGTGTGCTTTTTGACTGGTACAGTACGTTATGGACACACTTCAGGATAACTAAGTGAGCACAATGCAGTCCTGGATTGAGGCTGTGAATGGGACACCATAATATCTTCAGAGTATCCACTGACAAGTACTGTAAACTCATTTTTAAAAACATTTTCACAGTAATGGCTTCTTTTTATAGTACACCTGGGTGTTTCCTAGCGATCCGACTCTAGACTAATGTACTGTATAATGTCATTGGGTGTAACCGATATATTTTGTTGCTGTGCAAAAAAATAGTAATTTCTGTTTAAGTTCACACTTCATCACTCTAAAGCAGTTTTTCCTCACGTCAGTAACTGCTCTGAGGGGGTTCATTCAGATAGAGCCATGCACTGCATTTTCAAGGTAATTAAGAATGTAAAAAATAACCTTGACTCAGAAACACCCACATACAGTAAATGTTCTTTAATGCTGATTATTCAGGAACAAGCCTCTTATTAAAGCTGACATATTCCGTTCAAAGATTATTTCCAACGTTACAATACATAGAGTACATTTAATGATATTAGATGAGAAACATTTTGTGTTCAAAACAGTTATTTCAAATCATCTTAAGGATGGGAAGATGCCTGTATTCACACACGTAAATTGGACAGTAACGCTACCTGAAATAAATTTACAGGTCAGTATTTGCATCTCCCTTTGAGACATTAACTGCACGAAATCCTCAATGATGCACTCTCTGGTTGTATAACACCATTTTGGGTTGGGTAACCTTTGAAATGATTACTCACAGTGATTCAAATGACAATAAAATTGACACTACGAATTATTAATGTTTTAGGGACTGTTGCACTCAGCTCGTTTCTGTTCTTATTCAATTCTCCAGCTATTAAAACTCAGGTGGAGTGTTCTGCTGGTTACTGCCCAGACGAATGGTGTTTGTAGTGAGCCTGGTTGTTGCAATCAGAAGTGCTTGCTTGTCCTATTTCAAAACAGATAATTATATTTTCTAAAGTTCTAAATCAACCAATTTGTATAATCAAAATGATGAGCGTGAAAATCTCAAATAATTCACTGCAATTCAAGCAATTCACTGTAATGAATCTAAAAGAAAATGAAACTTATACTGAACAAAGGAAATACCAGAATTAAAAGTGGAGGCTTTGAGTGGGTGTGGGAGACGAGAATTGAAGGTAGATTCATTCCTGGGTTTTATTTTCCTGTGTTGACTGAGCTACAGCTGTGCTGTTGTCGAACTGTAATATACAGTAGCAACTAGCTGGAACAGAGCTGTATCGCCCGGACGGATCCATTAAGCCTGGCTACAGACCCCCAGGAACAGGTATCTCATGACGTCACATTTTTTAATATCGTGATTCTTCTATCAATATGTTCTCTTAGTACACCGAATGTCTACGGTGAGACTTGTCGCAAAACACAACTACGACCCAAAACTTTGTTTGCGCTGTAACTGTCCAGACTATGAACAACTCACTGTGATTTAAGGGCGTAATTGGCAGTACAGGCTCATTTTCTTAAATAGCGACACAGATGTGCAGTGTATCATCAAAGAAAGTTTTCATTTGGTTCAGTGGGGGAACTAGTACTTTCTGCAAAGGTAGTGAGAGGTGTGTTACCTACAGTACAGTATGTGTTTGACAGGCGATTTTTAACGATTTAAAAATAAGTAACCAGGGGTCTCGAGAGGCATTCAGGGTCCACAGTTACGAAATGAACACGAATTTCAGACGTTTTTGTCTTAATTGATCAAAATGGAGACAGAAACACTTTCACTTTAATGTTACGAAGCTCAAATTCACTTTAAAGATTTGCATTTAGCTTATTAACTAGGGTACAGCTGAGCTCATCTGAATTTAGAGCGCAGTCAGGACAGATATTGTAGATGCGGTGAATTAAATTAAGAATAAAAAAGCTGGTGTCGTATTCAACCACACATGGGCATGTTGAAATGTGGATACAGATTTCCAGGAGATACTGGTATTTTTTTTTACATTTATCTAATCCATATAGCAGAGACATTAAGTACATGATATACTGATATACAGTAAAAAAGATTATATTGAGAAACTGAGAAAATATTGAGTATTGAGTATTAAGAAAAGCACTGTACTTGAAACTATAATTGTCACAGTCTGGCGTAAACTCCGTAATGATACTACATTAAAACCGAAGTCAAAATGGATAAAATCTTTAATCAGACACTAGGAAAACGAGAATCCGTAACCCCCCGGAGTATCAAGTTTTAATTCAAGTGTACAGGCGTTGTGAAATTTCAGCCGTACTCGTCAAACGTTTGCTTGAACCTCGTTTTGAAATAGAAAATACAAGCTCATAATGTGATAAAATAGAAACGTGTGAATGTGGGGTTTTTTGCACTAACAATTACTATGTTGAAAGATCTTTGACACTTCCCTACATTTTTAATTTAATTTAGCAAACAGGTTTTAAGGATAATGTGAAAATAAGTAAATTACCAATGCATTATCAATTTAATATCACTGCGACACCTCCACATAATTTATCCGATACATTAGTCTTGAAAAAGAACTGTGTATTTTATTTCAGTGTTTTCCTGATTTTGAGAACCTGGAGACAAGACTCCTCTGAACAATGGTGAGTTTACGACAGTTAATCTGTAGCTGTTGCAATTACATGATCCTCAAGAATACCAACCAAAAAAGAAACATATTTATAGTAACTAATTTTTGCTCAGGGGATGGTGACCACTAAATGCGGGATAATTTTAAACTTTGTAGCAGGCTACAATAACTAGCATTTTTTTAATGTGCTGGGACTCTATTTCCCCCACAACAGGCTTTATCTTCCAGAACCACCAGTGCGCCAACAAACCAGACAGTCATACTATACATTTTCCCTCTTAATTATAGTCTATCAGTCTACATACAAAACTATCTCCATAACACAGCAATTTCTATCACTGCCAACAGAACACATTAGACAAATTAGACACCCAACAGTTCCAGAACCCCGGGAACTCCAGTTACCTAAACCAGTGTCCCAGAGGGAAAGCCCAGCAGCATTATTCTGCAAAACCAGCTCAGTTTGGTGATCTGGTGTGCCTCCTTCTGCTACAGAGAAAAGGCTCTGTGTAGTTCCAGACGTGCTCTTAGTCCCGGCCGCCCTGAAAAACGTGCTCCCTCAAGGTCCCCCCTACCGGCAACCTACCCTGTTAGACTCAGTTTTGGGGTTAGAGGGGGGAGGAAGACCATGCTGGGGCGTCCCTCTTCTGTAGAGGCCCTGGTGTCTGAGTCCTTTCCTGGGTGCAGTGGTGCAAACTGGGTTTACTTTGGTAAAAAAGGTACATGTTCTGGGGGGGGTGGAAGTGTCCCTCTGATGTATCAGGTGTGGGCAGAGCTAATAGCTTGGGGCTCCTTGATCAACTGGTTGTACATGGCCAAGTATAATGAAGAATTGTGTGTTTGAACCCTGTTCCAGAGCCCTCCTCTCAGTCTGTGGCCCAGTCAGACCTTGACTTGCAAGACAATCAGTCTTGCAATCCCACACTGAATTGTGTGGTGATTAATAAGTATCTATGTGGGGACCTTTAATCAATGGAAAGCTCCAGAACAAGGAAAGACAAATATATCACCTTAAAAAGACACTAGCCATTCTAAAGCCAAAATGTAGGCAGGGACAGTCCTTAACACCTGTTGTCACCACCCAAATTTGTTCACTCTCTGGCATTATTTGTACAGAATGTGGACTTGGTGCTTTTAATTTGATTTTTGTAAATGATCTGCATTGTGTGTATGGATTTGTCCTGGCAGTATTATCTGCATAGTTTATTATAACTGATCTATACAGCGTCACTCTAGACATCAACATATAGATATCATCTATCAGACATATAGACATCAACTGATGAAACTCTTAGTAAGGATGGATAAGCCTTAAAGAATTTCACTTGCTTAATCAGTAAAGATTCTGTACACATTTTAAATGGCCGAGTGCATCAAATTTATTTTCGAAATCCATACTGTTTCAGAGTTATTATTCTTAATAATCAAATGCAGTCCTTTCAGTTTCTACTTAATTTAGACTGTACCTCTCAATGCGGCAGGGCTGGTTTAACCAGTTTCCTCTTCAGCTCAGGTTTCAGGTTCCTTTGCTTTCTCATCTGTCTGTCTCTTCTAGCAGCTTGGCAGTCACCTTATATCCCCTGGAGCAGGGTGAGCACCTGTTCGTTCCACCAGGGATGGTGTAATGCGACTTATTTGCATGCTGGTCCCCTTTTGTCACCATCTTGGCGATGGCAAAAATGTCCAAAAATCCACTAAATGCTTCTAAAAGCACCGATCCTCTGTTATCACACCACTATACTGACCAGTATTTCATTATATTATATTAATACATTTTATTATAGTATGACCATTAAAAGAAAATTGAATGCACTGGGATTTTTAGTCAGAAAGTTCAAGCCTGTTTCTCAGTTATCTCAAGGTAATAAGCATATCAGAAATTAATATGAATAATGAACTCATAATCCTGCTTCTCATTTTCACAGGGATGCATAAGGTCCAAAAGTGAGGAAGGTAAGTTTTCTTGTTTTGTAAATAAAGCATAAACTCTGTTTATGTAAAGTTTAGTTTGGCTGCTGCTCCTCTCACCAGTTTTTCATTATTTATCTACTTATTTATATTTTTTCTTTTTCTTCTCTGCAACATGGATTTCTAATTTATTTATTTTTATCTGCTCCACGTTACAAATTACAAATGCAACTTCCACTTGCATTGTGAATTTCCTCAACTGAAGACCACTTGCTACTGCCTTCCCTGGATTTCCTTCCCGTCTTGATTCATTGATCATGTCTCTGAGGTACACTGCACTGCAACTTCTTCAACTAAAACAAAGCTACTTACTGGGATTTTACGACTGAGTTGCTACATTCATCGCAGCACAGGATGCCGTTTCTTTCATTCGTCTGCCTGCTGAGTCTCTATCCCTGCCTTTCGGCGCACGACTGTAAGTCCATCACTTACCGGCGCCGACCTCAAAAATCTCCTCTCACTACCGCACCTGGACCGCACTCCGCTTCCCCCTGCATCCCCGAGACTGGCCAGATCAGCGCTACTCAACACCCACTCCGTTAACAGCAAGGCTGTTTATGTGACATTATCAAAGAAAAACAACTGGACCTTCTGTGCTTAACCGAAACATGGCACAAACAAAACGATGGACGTTTGACCTTCCGCGTCTTTCAGGCAGAGGCGGGGGCATCATTGTTATTTACAACCTTTTTTACAGTCTAAGTCCTATAGCTATACCTCCTCCCTCTTCTTTTGAGTGTCTTGTTTTGAATGTTTCTATCCCCCAATCTACTATTATTGCCACAGTTTACAGACCACCCAAACCCAGTGGAGTCTTCTTAGGTGAGTTTGCGGATTTTCTCTCATTCTTATCCCTTAAATTTAAAAGGATCCTTATTCTAGGGGACTTTAATATACACATTGATTCAACCTCTTCCAGTCTGGCTAAAGACTTCCTTTCTCTTTTGGGATGCTTTGACCTTACTCAGTTTGTTTGTACCCTTACACATAATAAAGGACACACCTTAGATCTAATTATTGCAAATGACTCCTTTGTCTCCCACTGCTCTCCCCTTGATCTAGGCCTCTCTGACCACTTAGCCATTTTCTTCAATCTGGAATTACCAATTACCAAAAATAGGAAGAGAGAAAAAGGAAGTGTAACTGAGAGACAAAATGTTTGCTGGCTTTCAAAGTTTCTGGAAGGCTTGACGACAGCAGGAGAACTGAAAGAAAGGCTCAGATGATATAGCAGTAGTACAGCAAACTGGTTTTCAGTAGAGGGTTGATGTTGAAGCTGAAGAAGCGAGAAAGTGACTCCAGTCGTGGCTTGTAGGAGATGAACAAGATGAAGGTCCAGTCAGCGCTGGGTGTGAAGCACGTTCTTCTGTGACAAAAACCAAATGCCGAGGGCTAGAAAGATGTTGGCAGTGCCATGTACTGCTAGGAAACTTTTTATATGTAAAAAAAGGAGAGAAATTTAACTTTGACCTGAACTTGGACCTCTGTTCTCATACATTTCTTCTATATTTGTCTGGCTTTGTTTCCACTTGTGTCTTTTAGCAGATGTTAGTTTTCAGCTTTTATTTGTCTGCTGAGTTGAACTTTAGTTTGTTTTAGGAGCCTGACTAATTCGATTAAGTTCTTTCACAATATTTAGTTCTACAACCTTATACTGTAACTGTGTGTATATGTGTACATTAGTGTGTGTGTACATTTCTCAATACCGGGTTTTCTGTAAATGGGGATCCTCCATACATTTTTATAAAAAGTCTGTGTTGTGTCTTATTACTTGCTAGGTTCTGTTGAAGAAAGGTGGGATGAAGGGACAAAGAGACACGAGGAGTGTGAGGAATACAGTGAGTACAGAAATGTTCACACTACAGTGTCACTAGTAGGATTTTCCAGAGGGCATTTTCCACTCTTTACATTTGTAAAGAACAATCTGCTGTTTGATTTCCCACATGCTCCTTTTCTTATTTCTGTACACAGAAGAATTTTTAGTGTTGATCCTCAACTGCTCATTTGGATGTATTGTGTCAAAATCTTCAAGAAATCTTAACTCTTGGCCTGAATCCCTTCACAGTCTCTTGTGAAAGACTAAAGAGCTCCAGTTCCTTTTGTCTGTATATATAACACTTCTTCCATTCTCCAGAGCCAGGCTTGGAGAGATTACATGTCTGAATAGAACATTACTATAGAGTCTGCTAGATCCACTTACTTCTCTCACATCATTGAAAATCACCAAAACAACCCCAGACATCTTTTCTCCACCATCAACAGCCTAACTACCCCACCACATTACCTGCCTCATCTCAACTTTGCAACACATTAATAGAGTTCTTTAGTTCTAAGATCGACAATATCCAGCATCACATTCTCTCCACTACACATATCATTTCCATACCTCCTCCCTCCTCATCCAACTTCTCTGGTTCCCTTTTCTCCAGCTTCTCTCTTCTTGACTCAGCATCCCTCAATAAACTAGTTACACACATGAAACCCACAACATCTATCTTAGATCCCATTCCCACCACCTTATTTCAGTCTTGTTTCTCTTCTCTCTGTCCCATTGTCCTCAATATTATACATGAATCCTTAAGCACTGGCATTGTACCAACGGTCCTCAAAACTGCGGCCATTACCCCCGTGCCAAAAAAGCCTAACATGGCTCCCGACGACCTTAAAAATTTTCACCCCATCTCCAACTTACCCTTTCTT